AAAACAATTAAAAAAAAATTTTTTTAATTAAAATAATTACAATTGGTGGGTGGCATCTGTGGCTCAGTGGGTAGGGCGCCAGTCCCATATACTGAGGTTGGTGGGTTCGAACTCTCGAGCTCCCCATGTGTCCCACAGTCTTCTTAGTGAGATTTTTCCAGTAGCACCTGCTTTGCCACACAGTTGTGAATGCTGTCCACAAATAAACTCGATTAACCTTTACAACAGCCCTATCAGGTGGGAATTATAATCATCCTTGTGACACAGATGACAAATGAGCTCAAAAGGGCTGAGGGGCCTGCTCAAGGTTACACAACATAGTGGCAGGGATGGGTTTAATCCCTGTGCTTTGAATTACTTCAGTGCAGCTCTTTATAGAGGCTCAAAACCAGGACATCGAAGTCCTGGATCCCAGGACTCAAGAGAGGACCAGGGTGAAGGGTGATGGGAGGCTGGATATCTCGGTCCCACAACATAATTAAGACTGCTAACTAAGACTTACACGGCCTCAGGCACTATTCTAGACACTTCCCTCTGATTAACTCATTCATTCCCCACAATAGAGGCAGGTGCCCTTCTGAGACCACTGTACAGAGGTGAACACTGTGGCCCAAAGTCACACAGACCCACTTCACTATCCTGCCTCTAATGCAGGTCCCTGGTAGCTGTATCATTCTCTGCTTAAATCTCATGCCATCTTCTTCTCTTCCCAGCACACAGCTGCCCAGAGTTAATAGACACCCTGACTCAACTCTGAGCAGGCACCAAGGAAAGCTGGACTGGCTACAAGCATAGGGGCTCATGGCAGCCCCACGCTCAAAAGTGAAGGGAAGGATATCCCCAGAGTAGGGGACAGAGGTGACAGCAACCCACTCCAGGCTGGGACCTAGAGTGCATGGCACTAGGGACTATCTTTGTTCAAACTCCACCCTGGTCCCCTAGGATCTGGTAAGACCCAGGGCAAGGAAGGCAATTCCTCCTCCGAGCCTCCGTTTCTGACTCTGCAAAAGAACACTATATAAAGCCCCAAGCCCAGCGCTGGGCATAGAGTATATATGCTCACAGACAAAAGCCACTGTTCCAGTTCCTGGTTGACAAGAGGATCACTCTGAGGCCAAAGGCTCACATCACAGTTCCCCCACTTCCAGTGATGAGACCTTGGGGAAAACATTTCACTAAACAGCGAGTACTTCAATCTCTTCATCTGTAACATCTGTTAGGGTATCACATCTCTAACTAGCTCACAGGACTCTATAAAATAAGACTAATGGCTCGGCGCCTGTGGCTCAAGTGGCTAAGGCGCCAGCCACGTACACCCAAGGTGGCGGGTTCGAATCCAGCCCGGGCCCGCCAAACAAC